TATTGTTCTGTTTTCAAAGGATTACTCTGCAGCTCATGAGTAACCTTGACGTTGAAATAGTATTTTCTTAGATTTCCATATTTATTGTAAATTGAGTTTAAGGCATTTTTCTTCTGCTCCTGTGTTGTGATGTAATGATTCCTCTATGTGGGCTGTAAAATCATATTGTATTTTAAATGAAATAAAATGCAGAAATTCACAGTTTTACATGTAGCTTGAATATGTTTCAGGAGCTCAGAATCAGTGATGTGCATTAACCGGTTTGGCTGGGGAGGCCATTTTCAGAGTACAGTCAGGTGCCTGGAGCTACAAAATGCTGCTCTCTCCTCTGTTTGTGTTGTGACGCTTTGTTTTGCCTTTGTTCTGCTTCGTTTGTCCTCTCCGTATTTCTTTTTTTTTCTTTAATTGAAGCATGGACCTCACTGCATTCTGAGAAATGTACAAAAACAATATTGGCGTATAGTTTCAGCAGCAGAAAAAACTAGGGCACCGAATAATATATTATTATTTTCAGCAGCACGTTGGGTGCGTTTTTACAGTATTTATCAAAAAGGATCTGCTGCTCCAGTTTTTCCACACAAGAAAAGACAGAGCTCAGGATTTGGGTTATTAAAGTAAATTTGAGCAAATATTTTCTCAGAAATCTTCTCAGTTATCTTAAAGGATTAGAAGGATAATAAAACAGATGTTCGAGTTGGGTGGTGGGGCTTTAAAGCACATGGCAGCTTGATTTTCAGTAAATAAGCACAGCTGACTTGGTTTAATAAGAAACATATTCTATTTGATCATCCACGTGTCATCTCCCCCGATTGTTTCTACCTTAACGTTTGACTGTGAACTAATGAAACTGTGTGATGCGGTGATAAACGGGTGAGCGTAGTGAGTTAATATCCACTCCGGTGCAGAGTCTATGGTAACACAGGACTGTAGTTAAAGAGAGCAGGAGTGTGTGAGACTGTTAATGGAAGAAATCTGAAGAGGCACTGCACACAGAATATAGATGAATGGAAAGTGTGCAGGTCAGTAGGCAAGTGACTGCATATTCATTACCACCTTTGTCACCTTTCTGTTACATAAATGAAGGTATTGTGCTCGCTATTTTTGTCTCTGATTCATTTATTTGTTTAATTTCCTTGAATTATTTGAAATGTGTTTTTTTTCTACGAGAAAGATTAGAGGAACTCTTGTATCTGGAGAGAAAACACAGCGAGGAGGCAATAAAATTAGCTTAGCATCAAAACTAAAAGGATATAAAAGTTATGCCACTTCTCACGTTTAGCTGCTGTCATTTTAATATGTTTTTAATCAAACATAACCATTAAATGAATGTACCAGCACACACTAAACTCAACTAAATGGTAATGAGATGATAAACTCCTTCAGTGAGAGAATAATTTAAAAGAAATATAGATTATAAGTGTATTATTTAGCACATAGCCCAGTTACCTTCAGTTGTTGTGAAAATCCTGCATATATCAAAAATAAATTTGACTTTACATCAGTCAATCTAAACACCTTCTTCTACACACACTCCCACTTCAGCACATCACAGCAATGCTTCGGGGGAGGGGTGCTCTGTGGGGCGGGAGCTCATGTTCAGACTGAGCTCCAGGGAGGAGCTTTGTGTAAAAAGGCGGAGCTTTGTACCAACAAGCGTTTAGGCAGCTCCACATGGCTACCACAGAAGATTCAAGGATTTCTCCAACATGCATGAATGAGTCAAAGCAACACTCTGGGTATGTTTCTGATGAGGAAATGACATTGTAACAGGATAAAGCTTGAAAAGTCAGTTTTGCACAATACCACCCCCCCAATTTTCACATTTTAGAGTATTATCTTATTAAACTTGCAGAGTACACTGTGTGCAAAGTGTTACTCGTTGCGTAGTGACAGAATTGTACTGAGAACTTTAGAACATTTCCACCTACAACAATGTGAAAACCACCAGTAGCTGTGTTACAATCTGTGTTCAGTTTCCATCTGTTTAGAAGACGTGTTATTATTTATGTGGCCATATTTTTTTTATTTTTCCTTGTTGTACCCTTATTGCCACTTTTATTGTCCTCGTTTCCAGTCTTACACACCACCTGTACCTCTTTAGTAGTCAGCACACCTTCTTCTTCTATTACATTCTGCTGTTATTGAATGCCTTCTTGATGATTACAGTTTTGATTGTCATTCACCTGCCTCCTCTGTTGGGTCCAGCAACAACCTTTTACCACTAAGTGTGACAAGCTGGGGTTCGTCTCTTTGACTCTCAGTAAATAATATTGATTTGCCATGAGAGACACTATCAAAAGGAGTTAGATTTTTTTGATCCGTTCCTTTTAAAGACTCATTCAGTTTTGAACGGTAAGTTCATACGTCCTATGTAAGGCCACACGTTGTGTGCCAGTGATGTGCGGATCGAAACTGAAATATTGATACCACAGATAACAGAACTTTATGCTCTGGATATTGATAATAAAATCAATACTAAAATCAAAATACTTCAGTCATTTCAGGTAATGAATATATTTAAACAGGAACACAGTGGAAAGTAACTAAACTACTGAAATATTGTAATCAAACGTGCTCTGAGGGAACTTCTTTTTCTTCCACCTGGGTAATGCGTCAGTGTAGCGGCACATGCTCAGTCAGTCTGTAGATGTTACATGTTCAGTATTTTTATGTTGGTATGCTTGTGTAATGTAAATCAAGTTTTCATTTTATAGTAATTTTGATAATCAACAAATAAAATGTGTTTTAATTGTTTTTATTATTTAACTTCATTTCATAACACTATTTTCACATATTTTGTATGATTGTTTCATCTGTTTGTATTAGCTCAGCTGTATTGTAAATACAACAACAACAACAACAACAATAATAATAATAGTAATAAAAACAGCTACACCTACAGCGCTGCCATTGGCAGTATCTCTCCACCCCCTGTTAACAATAGGTGTTAATTAGGTGTCAACGATAGCCATGTGATGTGAGTATCAGTCACMTGGAGGCAGGRCTYAAAAGCCTGAATTTTGCCTGAAACTCTCAGACTGAAGAAGTCTCTTGGAGGAGAGACGAAACGTTTCATTAAAGAAGAACCCGTCCAGATGACCTATACAATTTTTTTCCTTTTGATTTTTTACCTGGATTACTGAGATGCATCAGGACAAATAATAATAATACTTGAGTTTAAAATGAATGAATAAATTATTCTGATGTACTGAATTAATTATGAAGTAGGTATTAGAAATACTTTTTTTAGATATACCAGACACATTTGTTATATTTGCGCAAAGTATCAGTATTAATTCAGTGTCACTGATACCAGCCTGAGATTTACTCTATATCACAATTGTAAAGGAAATTGGTGGTACAGAATGACATAACTTGTGAAGCGTGCAACCACCTCTCCTCTTCTGTATATTCTGCATGTTCACCAATCACAACTCCTGCACTCCTCACCACGGCCTGTTCTTCTTTGCACCAGTCATTTGCATTTAACACCAAGCACTGATAGAAGCTTCAGGGCAGATAGGACAAAGGTTTGCTCAAGTTTTCAACTGCAGCTGGTTGGACAACAACTCGTCAGCAACAAAACCAGGAAGTGCACCATAGTCACTATGAAAACACCACACCTCGTGAGCATGTTCCAGGTGCAGCCAAAAACAAGAAACGATCTACCACCTGTTCTTCTTTCTCATGAGAGAAAGTGCATTAACATTTGTTGACTCGTTTCACGTGAGCTGGGAGTCATTTTTTGCAGAATCTAACCACTGTGAAGCAATCTGAGGTTTGATTTCACCACTTTCTTGCCCCATTCTGAGGCCTAATCTGCCGCTGCAAGCTGGTGGTGTGCTGACCCAGTTTAAAAACTGTTTGCAACAAAACCAGCTAATTGTATCAACTAATAAACAAACCGACCCCTCTTTCATCCACCCAGCCTTTCAGTACAATCTCAAAATTACTAACATGCTTATCACAGTTTTCAAAACTTCTCCCTAAAACTCAGGTTTTCCTCTTGTCCCTGTGGTTGAAAAGACCCTGGTTGACAGTAAAGATTCCTGCGGTTGAAATGTCCTTTAAATATAGACTTACTGTTGATGTTTTCACATTTTTCTGAAGTTACTCAACCGTATTTCAAGTGCACAATCAGATTCAGACATCACATGACACTTACATTTTTAAAATACAAGCTGAGCATCCCATGTCATGAAGACTGTCTCAATTTCTTGTTACTGATATCCATCTTGCATGTTGCTCGCTGCACGAATTTTTTTTCTTGGTGCATCCCCTTTTTGCAAAGTGCCTATGCAAAATGAACAAAAAGTAAAGTAAATTTGAAAGCCCTAAAACAATAAAATGTATATATATATA